CTCGATAAAATACCACAGGTCACCATAACTACCACCATCACCGTCAGGAGAAGCAGCAACATTACATCCACTGTGCCACAATTGGCACTAGTGTCGTAAATACGCCGCTCCCACTGACACCACTGCAACAACCACAACAGTAACAACAATAAAAAAATTGACACTATTACAACTACTATTCCGACTACTGCTACTAGCTCATCTTCGACCGGAATTTTGCCAGAATCCGACGTTGTGAAGCACACACAAGTCAGCATGAGAGATGGAATCGTGTACTAGAGAGTCTAATAGCCGGATGGATGGAGCGGACCGGCTTTGCACGCTGCAAATCGTTAACTACCAATACCATAACCCCCGACGCCTCAACCAAAGAACAAACTCATCATCATCACCATCACCATCACCATCATCACTTGCGGCATTATCACCATCATCATCATCACCAACAAGAACCAGAACTAACACATAAATATTTCACCAGTCATTATCACCATCATCATCACCACCATCACCACCACCTTCACCCTCAGACAAACGAACCGTATCAAAAAGGATCACTTCAGGAACCCCCTTGTCAGCAGACTGCACCTTCAAACAGACCGAAACTGAGTGTGTCCAGCCGGTTCCTCCGTTTAGGAAGGAAACTCCTGCTGTTCTTGTTTCTCGTGTGCGCCTTCACCTGCGTGGCCCTTTACGCGATCGTCTCTGCCAGCTGTTGCACGGTCCTCACTTTCACCGATGGCACCACTGCACTACAGCTTGGGCCCGCTGACTCCGCCGGCCGTTACGTCGTCGCAGCGTCCGGTAAACGAGAGAACGAGAACAGAGACCCCGACCTTGTGTTCCCTCTGTCGTCGAGAGGCCATCAGAGTTTATCAAATTCTGGCCGCAACAGCAGGGTACCCCGTAACAAAAATGTCGGGTTCGGGGTCACAATCGGTGTTTCCCCTACAAAAGCAGGGACAAGGTCCCTTAACGGTGCTCGGGACGGAGGTCGTGGAGGCGGCCCGGCGACGACTTCGTTGCCGAAATCACCGTTCAGGTTTGCGACGGCACCTCAGAATATTAAGAGATCCGGTGGTAGAAGGGGCGGTAGCAATGGGCGATCAACATCTGTGGGCACAGGGTCCGATGTCGCTGCAGCTGTTGCCGCGTCCCACGCCTACCGGGGCCGAATCAGTAATGACTGGGGTCACACGAAGGGCGCTCGAGGAAGGAATGCAATTTTCGTCGGACGTGGAGGAATTCCTAGTGGAGGAAAATTATGGAAAGCAGAAAATACAAAAACGGCTTACGGGAAAGATACTATTAATGGCAAATCTAAAATCAAGAACAAGGGCAAAACCCTGGTCAATAAAATTACTAGAGGCCATAAGGATATCTCAGAAGATGTTTGGCACTCGGCTTCGGCGAGTTCTTCAATTGAACTCATTGGAAATGCCCGTAATGACCACGAGGCTTTGTTGTCGTCATCAGCTGCCTCTTCGCTGTCCTCAAGTGGTCAGGGTCCGAGGTCACTCATTGCTGCACAAAAAACCGACGATGGTTTTGCCAGTTATAAAAACACCAGCAAGGACTCTGATACTCGTAACAATATTGAGTATTATGGCTCGGACGAAGAAAATGAAGAAAGTAATGATGACGACGAGGAAATGTATGACATCGAAGATTACGAAGGAGAGAAGGACTTATCTCTAACTGATGACCAAGAGATGATACCCACTTATGAAAAATACGAATCAAGTTCTTCCCTAGGGAAAAATGTCAAAGAGAACTTCAGGGGAAGTAACAACAACTTTGTATCTGAATCCCAACGACTGCAAAGTTCCAAAAGTAACGGAGCCGACGGTCAGAATGCCAGTGGCGTGTGGACTAGTAATAACTGGCACAATTTGACAGAAAGCAGTGAAAACGTTATAGCTAGGCGGCCTTTGCATATTCAGAGAATTAGGCAAAACGCCACTAAGAAATTACCTCAGGCCATCATCATTGGAGTTAAAAAATGCGGTACACGAGCCCTGTTGGAATACCTTCGGTTACACCCTGATATGAAGGGTACAGGACCAGAACCACACTTCTTCGACAGACATTACCATAAAGGTCTTGAATGGTACAGGTAGGTGAATCTCTTTTTGTTCAGTTGCTTAATACATGGTCCTCGGCAGATGCGTGGCAGTGCGTTCGAATTCTGGCCCAGATTTTATTTATTTATTTATATCCTCTAAAGTTAACTTTTCTCGCACGCAGTACTTTCGAATGATTCCGAGATAAAAGGTTTATTCGCAGTCATGACACAACTGTTGGAAGAAAAGACAAAGGGGTTGAGTAAACCTACGTTTAAACATTACTCCGCTTAGTATATTATATGATTCAGTAATGAAAGCTTAAACTTATTGCCTGGTAATCAACTTTAACAAGTTCTAAACAGATAAGATGTCTACTATTGAAACTCTACTTGATTATAAATTCAGTTATTTAGTAAAGTGTTGTAATCTTAGTTCAAATTCAATGATTATAAGATATTTTATAAATTTATCGTTTTTTCTGTTGTATTGTTTTTGCAGGTATATGTTCAAATATGTAAACATATACATACAAACATACATACATACACTTGAATTTTGTTAAATTTGCCTTGATAGAAGTATTAGTTACAAGAATGTGCGTGAATATAAGTGCTGGAGTCAAAACAGCATAAAATATGATTTTATTCTAGCAATACAAACATATGCCTTTGAACTTCGTCTGTCCTTCATTCTCTCTATCTCTCTCTCTCTCTCTCTCTCTCTATCTATCTATCTATCTATCTATATACATATATGTCTGTGTGTGTGCACGCGTGTGGGTTTATAAGTGATTTGCAACTATACAAAAATGCAGTATAATAATATAGTAAGTATATGAATACTTATAAATAAAGGAACACATTAAAACAATATTATCAGTTTCCCATTTTTCCAAAAATGAAAATTATACGATAACAAATTTAAAAGAAAATAATGGAAGTCGGATACCGTAGCTCGTTTATTTAATCAGCTTTAGAGATTAAAAATCCTGAAAGGGTTCAAATTTCGGTATTTCCGTGAATAATTATCCATCATTCTTCTCTGTTGCTGCTGTTGTTTTTGTTTCTGTTGTTGTTGTTCCTGTTGCTTTTTATTATTATTTCTGATGTTGTTGTTACGGAAAATCTAAACATTAATATAATATATACGGAAATTTCAAAGGCAGGTTTCATTCTCCTCATTTGGAAAACCCGAAAATAATATTTTGTTCGAAATTCATATATACATAGATTTTATAAGCATAACCTACTGTTCTTAAACGCCACACTTTAGTGAACTCCCAGAGGATAGTGATGTTTCAACACACTAATAAACGTTTACTGAAAATTTAAGGTAAATGTACTTGACTGGCGAACTAAGCATTATCTACGGACAAGATGACTTGTATTTTCCTGAGGTAAGATGTGCACAAGAACAGGTTTATAAAGCTCCTTCAAAAAATGTAGCTATTACCAAACAATACGATTTGCTGGGCGAGTGTATATACAATGAAGTCAGTTTTAAAAGTTTTTATTGCAAGTTATGAAGGCATTTCCCATAAAATATCTGATCTTTTTTTCGTTTAATAAAACTTTGTACTTTAGACAGATTATTTGTCAGCATAGACTAATCTGTGAATAAATTTGTAAGTTATTAAAATAGATGACTTTGAATATTTTTATAACCAACTTCCAGATTTTCGCGTTAACCTGGCTTGAGGCTTGGTCTTATGCATCATAAATTCTCATGAAACTCACCTGCGTGAAGATGAATTGTCCGCAAAAATTTTCTATGAATATTTAATCAGTAGTATATAAACTTTGTGTATGTATATTTTTGTTTAAAAGGAAATTCTAAGATTGTATAATTATTTCCTTAATTTTTCTCCATCACTATTTCTATCTCTTTATCTCTCTCTCACTCTCTCTATCTATCTATCTCACATTCTCTCTCTCCCTCTCTCTCTATCTATCTAGCTCTCTATCTATCTATCTATCTATCTATCTATATATATATATATATATATATATATATATATATCTATATCACATTCTCTCTCTCCCTCTCTCTCTATCTATCTAGCTCTCTATCTATCTATCTATCTATCTATATATATATATATATATATATATATATATATATATATATATATATATATATATATATCTATATCACATTCTCTCTCTCCCTCTCTCTCTATCTATCTAGCTCTCTATCTATCTATCTATCTATCTATATATATATATATATATATATATATATATATATATATATATATACATTCTCTCTCTCTCTCTCTCTCTATCTATCTATCTATCTATCTATCTATCTATCTATCTATCTATCTATCTCTCTCTCTCTCTCTCTCTCTCTCTCTCTCTCTCTATATATATATATATATATATATATATATATATATAAGAGTATCAGAAAATCCATATAGAATGTATAGATGACCGAATATGTGAGGGACAGCATATGTTTAGAACCAGTAATTGAAAATTTGTCTTTTATCCGTACTTGATCACCGACTGATTTTACCTGTCGAGGTAAATCTCTTACTTCTTACAGGACTAGATAATTGTATAGGTATTAAATGTAAAGTAAAAATGGATCCCAGGAAGAAAAGGCATATTAGAAATCTCTCAAATTTCTAATATTCTTTTGCTGAAGGTCACTTTACGACATACATTCAGAATATATTTTCAGATAATCATACTCTTTTACAAGCTTTCCTAAAATAAGTGGAATATGTAAAGGCGTCCGTATAGAATGATAATATAGATGTATTATAATTGCCCGAAATATTTGGACGATTAATGTCATTAATATCTTTCATATCATGACCATTCGATCGTTGAATTTAGACTTGTTCAGGTGTATCATCCGGTCCTTATATTTTTTACTCTTTAATATAACGTGAATCGATTTGAAGGAGCATTTATCGATTGATAG